CACAAAAAAAAAAAAGGGGGGGGGGGGGGGAAACGAAACAAAACAAAAACAAAATTCACACAGAAAAACAAACCCATTTCAGCTAAAGTCATGAGCTGGCCATCGAGCTCTGCTGAACACAGACTCCAGTCATCGGAGAATCTTCCCTATCAATGCCTTGTCTCATGCCCAGGTGTCCCTCTGCTATAAAGTGACCAGTTCCTGTGTTTGTGGCAACAGGGTACGTGGGATGTCCAGCCATACCAGTCTCTTGGCGAGGATTTGAGAAGGCACCCAAACCCATACTCATACTTCCGTTTTGGCTAAAGTCCAGGGTGTTGGCAGGAAGCTGGCGGAGCTGGTAAGCCTGGTTGCCTTGGTTTCCTGTGGAAGAGGAAGATGTGGAGGAAGAGGATGCCGAGGAAGACAGGGATGTCATGGACAGATGACCGTGCACCACCTCCATGGAATCCTGGGTGGAGGCGCTGTTGGTGGGCGAGTTGTAGAGACGCGGCCGTGGTCGCGTTGCTATGACCTGTCCATGGTGATGTTGATGGTGATGGGGGTGCAATGCCTTGGGATGCTGGGGAGGCACATGAAAAGTGGTTTCCTGGACTGGATGAGTCTCTACAGTGACAGGTTCTGGTCCTACTATTCCAGGCCATACTACTGGTGGATGATAAGGCTGTCCCGCCTGCACAAACAAGGAAAAACGTTGTTCAGTCATGAAGGCCAAACTTTGAATTGCTTTACTTGACAAGATAAACCAGGTGGGCTCACCTGAGGGCAAAGGTTGTCACAGTCTATGGCTGGCATGGCTGTGCTGAAATGCCCGCCGCTGTGCCGATGGTGGTGAGTTGGATCGGATCTTGCTCTGCCACTGGTGCTTGTTCCAGACGATCCTCCTGAAGCAGAGGAAATGAACTGCGTTAAGCTTTACCGAGAAACACACTACTATCAAGTCAGTTACAACCAAGAGCTTAGAGACCAGAACAGATGAAATCGTAGTAGAACCTGAGCTTGAGGATGTACTAGAAGTGGTCCCTGATGACTGCGACTGCTCAAGTGCAGGACTTGTTGACACACTACTGCTTGTATTGGTTCCTTCATCCGTCGTCTTCTTGAAGAAACTGTGCTGGAGGGCATAGTAGGGCTGAATTCGCGTCTTGGGGTCGTAGTCCAGCATTCTGAGAATGAGGTCTTTGAACTTCAAGTAGTCAGCTACAGCGTGGCCGGATTCTCCCGCCCGACGACTGCCTGGTCCACCACATTCCACTCCCAAGATGGCATGGAGCTTTCGAGATGCCGGAGGTTTGTACTGCTCACAGAAAAGCAGAAAGACATTCTAGCAACAATAACAAGCATTCCCACAAAAGCTGCATAAAAACAAAATTCCCACAATAGCGATTGTACTTCAAAATATCAGTAACATGTACCCTTTTTCCATCTTTGGTCTTCTTAATACTCCATGTCCCATCTGACAACTTCTCAAAGAACTTCCTGGCTTTTGGTGCTAGGTCCATTATGTGATTGGGTGGGATCCCAAGTACTTCAACAATTTTGTTCATTTGGTCCACCTGATAGGGTTTCGATTAAAGAATAAGTCTCTAAAGCAACACTTTTAGTATAGGGACCAATTCTTACTATTAACTAGTTGCTTATTGGCATGCCTATTTATAATATATATGCTGTTTATTAGTACTTATTAGTGCTGGGCAACAATTAATCGCGATTAATCGCATCCAAAATAAAAGTTTTTGTGTACATAATATATGTGTACACTGTATTTATTATGTATATATAAATACACGCACATGCATGTACATATATATTTAAGAAAAATATGTTATGCTTATATATTAAATGTTTATACATAATATAAATTATATTAATATAAATATATACATGTAAATATTTTCTAAATATATACTGTATGTGTGTCTTTAAATATACATAATAAATATACACAGTACACACACATATATTATGTACACAAAAACTTTTATTTTGGATACGATTAATCATTGCCCAGCACTAGTACTTATAAAGCACATATTCTGCATGACCATATTCTACATCCCTAATCCTACCCAATACCTAAACTTAACAACTATCTTACAAACTATAAATAAGCAGAAAATTTGCAGTTTGAGGGAAATGTCATAGTTAATGGTTTGTTAGTAGCGAGAATTGGACCTTAAAATAAAGTGTGACCGTTTGTTTTATCTATGTTTTTTTACTATAACATTCCGTTTTAACTCCTGTATTCTGTACACACATTAAACAATAATTTAGGGGATTTATTCCCACATATCAATGTAGTTGTCAATCATAAAACTTTGTATTCATGGTGTTTAAGGACACGGGAAACATTAGTTATAATAATAATAATAATAATCATCATTAATAATATTAATACCAACTCATACAGCTCATTACCTCATTGGCTCCACTAAATAGAGGCTCTCCTGTATGCATTTCCACCAGAATACATCCCAGAGACCACATGTCTATGGCCAAGTCATACGGCATTCCCAATAACACTTCGGGGGAGCGGTAGAATCGACTCTGGATGTACTGATATATCTGATGGAGGAGGAGGAATACGTAATCAATTACTCTAAGCATTCTGTGACAATCTCCACACTTTCCTCACATTCAAAAAATAAGTCGCTTCACAATACCCTTTGTCCCAGTTGGCAGGAGCTCCCAAAGTCCACTATTTTGATGGCACTTCTCTTGGGGTTACATAGCAGGATGTTCTCTGGCTTTAGGTCACAGTGGATGATGCTGAGCTCAGGTGTAGCGAGAAACAGTAGTGCTGTACACAACTGCTGGGCAAACTTCCGTGTCAGATTCAAAGAGACACCTCTGAAGTTCGTATTCCGTAACAAGTCATAAAGGTTGTATGACAACATTTCAAATACTAAGCAAAGATGATTCCGGAACATGAAGTGCCGTTTCAAGTGTACTGAGAAAAGAAATGCATTTAGATTTTTATATTTAAAATTGAAAGAATGCACTGTATGCAAAGATTTTGAAATGATATCAAAGAATTGAACAGGCTGCTTACCTATATAGTATTTCATCTCTGTGTCATGTTTGTTCATGAGCTCGAGAAGCCGTACTTCAATTTGAGCTTGATTCAGAAAGGCCTTCTTGTTCTTGATGATCTTAATTGCTACCCACTCTTGCTCAGCTCGGTCATAAGCTTTTACAACCTAAAAAAGTCCCAATTACATTCACATAAGACAATATTTTTGTTTCCTTATAAGATATTAAAACTACTTTGAAATGGCAATTACACCATGCATCATTTTGCCATCCATGGATTCTGCTTTCAAAGTCCAAAACAATAATTTAGCCTCTATTTTATCAGGGCAAAAGCTGATAATGTTCCAATTTCCTAACATTTAAAATCTTAAATTTTGTTTTTCCTTTCAAAAATAAATCTTAAAACAATTGAAGAAAACTCAAGACATTATACCTGGCCAAATGACCCTTTTCCAATTAAAGAGTCAATTTCATAGCGGTCCATCCATTTTTCCCCATTCTTGACAATGTAGTCATAGTTCTCATCATCGTAGCCATCATTGAAGACTTTCCTTTCTTTCTTGTGGCTGGAGTCCTCACTTTGACCTTGTTGATGCCGTCGTTTCTTTTTTGCATAATACACCTAATACAGGAGAGCAAGTAAGTTTCACAGCATTAGTCTCAATTCAAAAATCCTTGAGCATTGTTGCACTCATAACTTAGTGTGAAAACTTCCTAAAAGACTTTTCAGAGGTACGACTACTTATGATCTAGTATCCTAATTTTGTACTTTACTACTATTATTTTTAGCTTTATTTTATGCTGTACTATGGCAAGGAACGTAATATAGATGAGAATAGCAATAAAACGAAGACATTTTACCTCATTGATGTGTTTGTAGGTTTTGATCAGGTCTATGGAGAGCTTCCTTAAAGGAGCTAAAGTGGGGTCACGAAAGCACTGGGGCATGTGCCTCTGCAATAAAAGAAGGGGAAACACGTGGATTTACTAGGTGACATTTTTTATTTTTTTTTAACAAATTCACATACTTTTGACTAAGAGGTAAAATAATCCAAAGGCTAAGTGAAAAGTAACAGGAAGTATTCATTTCACAAAGTGCAATAACTGAGCGTGCTTCATCCATGTTTATTCACAATGCAAAAAAACTAATTGCATAAACAGCAGCGGAGCATCCAGTACCTGGCTGGCAGTGAGTGCTTGTGTCTGATCACTGTATGGCAGTACAGTGACAGACTGATCTGTACTCTGCTGGTGACAGTCACTGTACTGCTGGTGCGAATGAGGCATGGGAGCAGCCATCTGAAGACCAGCAGCATGGAAAGAAAGAGAGGGTGCAAGCCGGACAGACGAGGGTTTGCATGCTGAGGTCTCTCCCCCTAGAGGAAATGTAAGCTAAATTAGTGCGTTAGAACAAAATTCTCCTCTCTCCCTGTGATCCTTTGAACCGCAAACCTCTTTCTCTGTTTTAGGAGAGAAAAACCATCTCTGAGATTTTTATGTAACAAAAATTAAGCATAGCACTAGAACTAAAACACAATAGGACAGAAAGTGAATATAAACATATGTACAAAAAAATCTATGAATTTATTAATCTTGTTTATCAGAATATAACATTCCTGTAAGAGGAATGTCAGAAAAATAAAGGCAATAACAATTAAAGCATAGCTATAAAAAAAAAGACAAAATCATTTAATATAACTGTACAGAAACAAATAAAGAAAAAAAAACAGATCTCTTCTCAATTTCTAAATAAAAAGAGAAAAGACTACAGTGCAAATTTCATGTCAAGTACAACATTTTTGGTCAGAAATCTGTCCTTTTTTTAGCTGTAAATTGTGATAATTATAAGGAGCTTGCTCATATATCAGCATCTCTTGCCAGGCAACACAATGCACCACAGCCACACAAAATCCCACCACTATTCAGAATCCCAGCAACAGCACCTAATTAGCATAGCCTATCACCAAGAAGATACAGTGTGATTTGGCAAGCCCATCAATGTTCAAGCCAATCACAGAAGAGTATGCAAATAGCCTACTTTTGTTGCCAGGGCAGAGCTGCTCCCATTTTCCAATAAGAAAACAAGAAATAAACAAGAAATAAAATTTAACTTTGGCACACTTAGATGAAGCATCCACCACATTGGAGCCTGACAGCAAAATAGCAGCTCAGACCCCACTCATGGTGTAGGAGTGGAGAATGATTCAGCTGACCTAACTAAGGCACGGCAAAGAATTCATGTGATCCACAAAATATCAGAGGATGGAAACACTTCTACAGCCTCAAACGATTTTCAGGACAAAAGCCTATGAAATAACACATTTTTACATTAATTTACCAACATAAACATCTTAAATTGATTATATATTTTTAAAAAGGTACAGCAAAATATCATTGAGATGCTTGTATTTTTTATGTTTTGTTAAGGCATATTTCTCAATATGGGCTTGATGATTCATGTTGTCAAGGACTGCATGCAGTTCACCAAGAGAAAAACTGATGTATGTCACAGTACAAACAGAAACATTACATTCTGCACCACAGAAGATGCTCTTACTGTATATCTAGTTCTGTTTTTTTGTGATTTATAAGCAGCCTTTATAACTCAAAGAAGAAATACGAATTTGTATTAAAAATTATAAAGTTGGTAACATACAAAATATGTGAACAAGGCTTTGCAAATATAAACATTAAATATAACCCTCTGAGGTGCATTTCACCATTCTGTGTCACTCATTTTACACGAGTACTACTCAGATTGATATTTTATTTCTGAATCTGATTAAACTACAAAGGAGTTATAACAAGGAATACGATATATTCGGGGTTTTTTCTGTTTACTGATCTGTAATTATCCTGTTATATAAACATTAAATATAACCCTCTGAGGTGCATTTCACCATTCTGTGTCACTCATTTTACACGAGTACTACTCATATTGATATTTTATTTCTGAATCTGATTAAACTACAAAGGAGTTATAACAAGGAATACGATATATTCGGGTTTTTTTCTGTTTACTGATCTGTAATTATCCTGTTGCAAGGAATGAAATCAAGTAAAAATAATATTAATAATTAATTATAAGATTTGTTTTTAATAACACTAGCAAAAACTAGTGATATATGTTTTGTAATAACCAAATAATAATAAATTATCCTCAGGAGCTTTTGACATTTAATTTATCCTTTTCAATTAATTTAATTTAATTTAATGGCATGTCTGGTTATTGTCAGGCCAGGTAAACACCAAACATGCAATAAATTCCCTTGACTACAGTACAGTAAGGGACTGTGATCATTAAATGACTTTCTCACAGCAACGCCAAACATGTTGAATGCACATGCAACAAGAACAATTATGGCTTTCCATCAAACATTTTCCAATTTATAATAAAGCTCTGTAACACAACTGTTCCTTACTTATAATGTAATAGTGGGTCAGCTCCGTGTAATTTATGACTTTTAAGATGGCCAGTGACATCTTCTCAAAATACAAAGTTAAAATGTGTTACATGTCCCAGAAATTATTCCACTTATTTGGTGTGGAGCACAAGAACAAAAAAGTAGGTATAGCAAACAGAGACAAACTTCACCCAAGTTATGTATAAGCCACAAAAAAAAGAAAACAGCTTGTTGGTTTTTTGCTACCCACTAGATATCCCACTTCAAACTCATGTCAGAGTGACTAAATGCAGCCATGATAAACAATGAACAACTTTAACCATCATTTTACACCGTGACGAGTACTTAATTTGACAAATACTACCAAAGGAATCAATAAAGTAAGACGTGCATAACTGCACAACAGCTTCTGCTTCAAAACAAGAACAGATGCAAACAGCTAACCTGGATGTATGATTTCCAGTATAATTTAATTTCACCTTAATTAGCTGTAAAATGTTTGATTCACTTGCAATAAGTGCTAACTTATCTTCCCACATTTCAAACGTTCCTTAGAGTCCTACATGAATAGAAGGGCTGCAAATAAACTTTGATGAACAAACATCACAATAAAAGAGGAACAATTTATAGAAATTACAAATCCTCAATACTGAGCATGTAAAGCATGCATTTGTACTTTATTTTCCGATCGCTTTATTAAAACTTGGATGACACTGAATTCATATTTCTACAAGTAAGCCTAAGTTCACAACTACTACAGAACTTTGCCTAATTTAACTAAACATACTTAAGTGTTGAAAAAATAACATTTCCCCCCATTAAAATGTCCCTAGGTTACATAAAGTTATAATTAATCTAAATGTTCTGACTAATTTCTAAACAGCTAATAAAAAACAAGCCCTGAAATAACACTACAGGAGATCAGCTGGATTTCAGCACCACTGAAACTCCAGAACAATGTCAATAAGATGGAAAGAAAAGGGATACTGGACTGCGCATGGAGTGTAAAAAGAAAAGTGTACGCGACAGTACAGATCCTGGTCCTTTTGTGCATGCAGGCCCATTCCTGCATATCCAGCTAAATGCATGAGACTTATTCTTCTAGTGTGACTGAAATAAGGTTTGTACAAAACAACTAATAAACTGCATCACAGGAAAGAACAAAAAGCCCCTGTTAAACTAGGACCACTGTCAATCACACTTTTAGACTGCTGTGGGAGGAAATGATGGACAAAAAAGATGGCATCTGACACAGATCTACCTATGAACTTCCAGAATAAAGTTTACCTGAGGCAAACAGAAGCAACAAACCACGACCCTATTTTTGATGAGACATTTCTCTGTGCATTATTCATCTGTATCAGCTGTACTTTTATTATGTATAAAACATCACCAAAGCTGAACCTTCAGGTGACACTGAGGGGGAATCTGACAACCTGCCCTGTATTTACCTGGTCAGAGACCATTATCCATCTGAAAAAGACGAAAGCATTTCTTTACACAGACTAACAAATACAAATCTGAGCAGCGTGCCATCCATTCCTCCACATTAACTATACATAACTTGAGAAAAACCCTTGAACACTGAGCAAACTAACCAGAGGTAAACTGAGTGACAGTGACATGTAAAGCGGACCTTACCTCTCTAGCTGGCTTAGCCATTCATCGGGCTCGATCGGACTCGTTTAACGTCTCCATCGTCACGCTAAAGTCTAAACCCGTACTACATGACTGAGCAATGTTTGCTGTATAACTATGGTTAAGCATCACATCCCTGGCTAATGTCAGCCCCCCTCCCCCGACAGGAAACCAGCCTGATGGCTAACTGACAACACGCTAGACATGGGGCTTCATCATCATCATCATCACCTCCACCACCAGCGTTACCAGCCAAACACTCCCATCAGAGTGATGTGATGATACACTTCTGTAATCACCAGCTGGCAGATTTCTGCGGGTAACGTTAGGTATATATAAAATCGTAGGCTGAGCAAACCCACATACACGCACATTTGCTCCGGCAGTCTGACCTAGCGAAGCTACACTGGGTTGCCTGTTAAACGACTAACAGACTGTCCTAAAACCTTTACAAATGCTCACTACTGGGGCTTGGGGAGTGTAAAAGCAGACGCTGATGATCGGATGAGCTATCTGGTGCATGAACAAAGATCGCTAACTACGTTAATGTGAGGAAAGTTATTAATCGGCTAGCCATCTAGGCCAAATCAACCTAGCCTGTAGCTTCTAACGTTACCAAACAAGCGGTTTGGAAACACACCTACAAAGGACACAAGATTCACTTAGACCTCTACAAATCTCAAATACTCACCTTTGATGGTGTGATCTTCATTTAAAGTCCCAGATCCAGTTAAGTGAGGCGACTGATCCAGTTTCTCTACGCTGCTTCCGATGAGACACCCCTAATGTATTGAGCCAGACGGGGCTAAATGCCTTCTTATTTCGACTGACAGGTAAAACAGCGTCTTTCCAATGCGTTTTTGCCCATGTCAGATCTAATTTGTGCATTAATCATGGTTTGTAAGTGGTGAAGTGATGGTTAGCGGCGGTTTGTAAGTGGTGAAGTGATGGTTAGCGGCTAGTTAGCGCTCTTTCTCAGTGACTTTAACAAACGCGGCTAACCAGCTAGCGCTCGGAAACGCACATTCAAGATTATTCGCTTCTGTAGAGGCGGAGACGCAAATGAATTGTTTTCAAAAGCAAAAATAGTCACAAAAAACCAACGACATGCCGATATTATAGAATGCGCTACGTGAAAAGGTGAACAAAAACCGTTAAGCTTTTCTGTCAGTTTTCACAAAATGGCGCGCGTTCCAAACCTGCGCAGCGGACCGGCCCGGCGGACCCGAGACACGGACTACTAGCCCAATAAATATATTCCTGACATTCCGATTCTTTGTCCTGGTGTCGTTTTCAGTCCGACGCGGTTGGCGAAGCCTTTCTAAAACGGTCACTGTTACGAGCGCATGACTGCATTATTCCGGCGGGAAGCGAAAACATTTGAAAGATTAAAAAAGCAACTGACAAAATGGCGACAGCCTGGGCTGTTGCTATGGCAACTGTCAATCAAGCAGACGAGTACCCGGATGTTCAAATGACGATTCGAAGGGGGAAACAGTAAAGGTAGCTCCACGCCATGTGTCAATCAAGTAAAACTGTCAAAGAAACTTTACACAAACAATCCTATAAGCATTTTGCAAAACGCTGAACTATTTCAAACAACACTGGGCTGCTTTTTGCTAATTATTGACAGCTTACGCGTAGTTTGTGGACAATCAACCATATTATGCAAAATGCTGTGCTTACACAATAATAGTGTATAAACACGTTTGTTTTAGGTCAAATATGCTGCATGTGCTAAGTAAAAATGTATAACAAATGATATAAGGAGGTTTAGGATAAGTCAACACCAGAGGACATTGCGAGTTTACCGTGATATGTTGTGTTTGTCAGGTTTATCTGGCTTTATGATATTAAAAGTGTATTAATACGTTATGTAGGATTACAATCTGACTTTCTCAGATTAATGTGATTTCTTGTGTGCTTATTTACCATTTTTTAGGCTTATCATTTTTACATCCATTTGATTGTCTGACAAAAAGTGCTGGATTGTGATATTAATGTTGATTTTGTTTTTATGAAACTTGCATAACAGTTGCAGTATGTGAATCTGTAGTTGGCCATTGCAGCACCATGGACAGCAACAGCTGCACTGAGGAATACAAACAGTTGGAGCCAGGAGACTTAATAGGTGGTAACTATTTGACTACATTCCTATCATTCTTAAATGTATATGTGATGAAGGAACAGTATAGTTTACAGTGAACTAAATCTCTTGCATTCCGCTGTCCTTTACCAGCTTGTTTACTGTGAGCCATCAAATCATGTTTATGACAATGTCAAAGTACCTTAACTTTTCAGATGAATTTGGATTTGGATTATCTCCAATGCTTTTGGGATCATTATTATGGGATGTGTCCATTCCTGAGGGCACGGAACAGTTCTTTCAAGCTTCCCAACTATTTCTATTACTTCTTCAACCAAATAGCCACATTTTTTTCTTTTATTTTTACAGAGAAATTATGAATTTTGTAACACTGTACAATAAATATTTGCATGGAATTTAATATTTTATTATAAAAAAAATCAATATAATTAATACTTTCACTACATGTAATTTTTCCAAAGACATCTACATTTGTGGATTAATACAATCCTGCTTACAATAATGCTTTGACATTAAAAACCTTTACAGAATTTAAGAAATATTTTATATTGGCCAATTTTTACATTATTTAAATACATCTCCATCAGTGATATTTTTATTGTCATTTAACTTTTAAAATAAATGTACCTTGTCTGAGACCTGGGCCCGTATGTATAAAACTTATCAGAAATGCTCTTAAGAATAGTCTTAATTTGACTTAAGTGTCAAAAAATTCTTAGTAAAAAGTAGGACTTGTCTAAGAGTAGGAGACCTTTATAAAGAAGCTAAAAGCAACTTTCAGTAAAGTCTAAGACTGATTCTTAAGTGTTGACTGAGGTGACACTTAAGTGTTGTGAACTAAAGACTACAATGATGTCAACTCAAAATGGCCGACCTCGATCTCTGAAACAGCCAATAGTGAGCCTGCTCATGTGAAGTCACAGCAGCAAAACACCAATCATTTAATGTAACTATAATAAAATCATTTAATTAAGACCCTGAAATATTTTAATATTTAAATGTATTTAAAAAAAATGCTTTGCATTGTGCAAAATTATCACAAATTATTACTGATGCTTTGAAATTGTATTCTATTGGTATTTCTCCTCTCGTTTACAGTTGGATCAATGACGTGAACATGAGTTCCATCAACAGCTCCAACAACTCCAGGAAAGCCCACAATCCTCATAAAAGTGGCTTGTTTTTGCAGCATGGTTTGACGGTCAGTTAGAAGGTCAATGAACTGTCCTATAGTAGTGGCCAAAATTGATGTCCAGCCTAGGAAATTTGACATCTTCACCCTTATTTAAAAAAAACTGTTAAAGATTTTGTAAGCATGTTGCATAGTTGCTCACAGTCAATTGTTTTATTTGTGATAATAATGCAATGAAACATACCAAATTGTGCGGTCATACTTTTTGGCCATGCTGTCATGCAAAGAAATTATGAACACATGCAAAAACAAGAGGACCAACGAAATATCAATAACTGATGATGTTGTTGTAAATATCAATGTTGCCAATTTAGTGACTTCCTCAACCCTTTTGAGACTTTTTTCAAAAGCCTAGCAACAAAATCAATTTCTTGAACAAACCTTATATAGATTCCAAGACTCCCCCACTGATCTATATGTATATAGATCAGTGAACTTGCCATTCTGACGTAATCTAGCAACATTTAGCAACTGTTTTAGCTACTTTCGGTTGAAAGCAGTTGGCAACACTGGTCAGTGTTTTTTTCCCTCATATTTGAATGGTTTAAGTGAAATGTGGGGTCATTAAAAAAAAAACTCCACATCACTTTTGGCCACTGTTGTGTTTGGTGGGATTAGTGCCACAATATTTAAGACCCTGCTTACTGTGTCATCACCGGTGCATTGCTGCATTTTTCCAATTTTCCAGCCAAAAAAATGTTACTACTTTAATTTCTGCAGTTAGAGCATTGATTTGTAGAGTGGAAGAAGTTATTACATTTCTTACTTGGTCAGTTACAAAAAGAATTGACTATCTTGGCGATCAAGTTTGTATCATTTTATCAACATATAACTCCAATATGTCATATCTTCGTTGGAAAGTGTGTCTCCTCCTTTTGCTGCCATCTTGTTACTCCTAACTAGGTTAGGAGACCTCTCCAGCTCTCTTAAGGAGCTGAGACCTAGTCTTAACACTTAGGAAACTTTATGAATCACACTTATTCTTAAGTCTAGGAATAGGAGTAAAATTACGTCATTCTAAGAATTTTGACACACTTAAGACTACAATTTTACTCTGAGAGGCTTTATACATACGGCCCCTGGGCCCGTATGTATAAAACTTCTCAGAAATGCTTTTAAGAATAGCCTTAAGCTTTGACTTAAGTGTCAAAAAATTCTTAGTAAAAGTGTCAAAAAAATTCTTAGTAAAAAGTAGGACTTTTCTAAGAGTAGGAGCCTTTTATAAAGACGCTAAAAGCAACTTTCAGTAAAGTCTAAGACTGATTCTTATGTGTTGACTGAGGTGACACTTAAGTGTTGTGAACTAAAGACTACAATGATGTCAACACAAAATGGCTGACCTCGATCTCTGAAACAGCCAATAGTGAGCCTGCTCATGTAAAGTCACAGCAGCAAAACACCAATCATTTAATGTAACTATAATACCAGAAGTCTGAGATCCGCTAGTGAGCGACGCCTCGTGGTACCATCACAGAGAGACTCAAAATCACTTTCCAGAACATTCTTGTTCACCATTCCTGGCTGGTGGAACGATCTTCCCACCCCTATCCGGAATGCTGAATCCCTGACAATTTTCAAGCGACAGCTGAAAACTCATCTCTTTCGAAGCTACATGACTTTATCATAAAAAAAAATTAAAAAAAATTCTCTCTTTATTTATTCCTTCTCTTTCTAGCTTGTACTTATTTGAACAATGTCTAGAAATTTGGTATTACAAGCACTTCCTGTATCTGTTTGCCTCCTTAAGAAGAATCGCTTTATGTATCCCCCAATTGTAAGTCGCTTTGGATAAAAGCGTCTGCAAAATGACAATGTAAATGTATTCTTAAGTCTAGGAATAAGAGTAAAATTACGTCATTCTTAGAATTTTGACACACTTAAGACTAAACTTTTAAGTTGAGCGACTTTATACATACGGCCCCTGGTTTGCAACAGTTCCCTTTTAAAGTTACTTGCTTTGGGGAATGTTGATGTGATGTGTGACAACTGAGCAGTCATAACCTAATGCTGTAAAAATTGAGATTGTGAAATTACTGGACAAACATTGAATCAAAAGTTACAATAAAGACATTTATAATGTTACAAAAACATTTTTTTTTTCAAATAAATGCTGTTCTTTTTAACTTTCTTTTCATCTTAAAATCCTGAAAAAAAATTGTATCACGGTTTCCACAAAAAATGTGAAACGGCAAAAACAGTGTTAAAAATGGATAAGAAATGTTTCTTACGCACCAAATCAGATTAGAATGAATTTTGAAGGATCATGTGACACTGAACACTGGAGTAATGGCTGCTGAAAATTCAGCTTTGCATCGCAAGAATAAATAACAATTTAAAATAAAATAGAAAACCGTTATTTCAAACTGAAATAATATTTCACAATATTCTTATTTTTACTGCATTTTTTATCAAATAAATACAGCTTTGGTGAGCATAAGCAGCTTTTCAAAAACATTTCTTTCCTAAAAATGTACACTTTATTTGAACTAAGAGTACAAAACAACGGTCAGTATGTACAATACTTGCACGGCCACATTCAACCTCTTTGGTCTTGACAGTGGATTAAATGCAGGTGATATGCACTGAAGTGTGGAAATGCAGCAACCACTTGGCATTGAATTTAAAATCTGCAAGTAAATACCATCGATTGTACTGTACCGTTCAACAGCAACAGAGGTATATTTTCAGGAAAATTTACTAAAACTAGCTAACATAATGTCAAAACACTGGCATTTAGCTAAACCTCAACAATATAAATAGAACATAAAAACAAAAAGAAGTTAACCATATTTACAAGTAATGCTTAAACCAGATCACATACAATTCTGCGGCGAAACAATGAAACATCAAAGAACACACGAAACGGGCGATAATCTGAGAAAAGTGTCAGTATACATTATTGAGAGCTGATTTTCACTTTCATGAAAAAAAGCAACACGTGATGAGAACCCAATTTTAAATGGTTTAAATGGTAAACAATCCAAGCAAAGGGCAAGGTTTTCATTAAACAAGCACTGGTCCCTGCATTATCTTCTTAATTCAGAAATGACTAATTATGTCAGTTGTCCTGTTTAGACATTTGAACTTCAAATTGTAGGTCATAGTCTTTATTAAAATGCATATAAGGTCTAAATATTGGTAATTAATGGTCTTCTAAATCCCAACAAGTATAATATCGGGATGTAATTTTGCTTACTGACTTGTTAAGACCTGAAAACTAGCCAAGTGCTCGGTATAAGCGTGAATATCATGCTTCATATCATGCCACAGATTAGGTACTACGTGTAATTCGAAAGGAAAAGTCCCAAACGGATACTAAAGGCCTCAGTGTTTCAACCATGTGAAACTGCAAACACAAATTTGCATGAACTGAATAGCTGGGACATTAAAATAAAACAAAACACAGTAGGGCTTCAAACATGAAATCCAACATTATGAATGAACACTTCATACAGACAAAGGTTTCTGAACAGGCTTGATCTTCAATGCAAAAGATTCACATACTTTACAACATACATTATTAATTAAATCCCTAGCGTAGGGGAGGCACAGACACATTATAGACGATGGTGGAGATGTAACTGACACAGCTACTCTGGTCCTCCAATACAGCTTCTGATCATTTTTTTCACAGATTTCACCAATTTTTCACTCCTTCTCTTGTGGAAAAAAGGGATTGCATTCAAATTAATCCTAAGGAAAGACAAGATACATACATAATAAATATAACAATAATTCAATCTATAAACATTTATATATAATACTACTACTAAGAAAAATAGTAATATTCACATTAAGCTAGTTTCAGAAATCTTGACTCACCCTGAATGGCTCCTTTGACATTACATGTCAGCTTTTTGGCTTTGATTCTCCTCCAGCTTCTTACTCTCTTCTGCAGATCCATCTTCCTTTTCTCCAGTTTTCCAGGATCCTTGCCTACATCCAGATTAAGTGTTACATAATATTCCACTTTGAGCAAATCTGGATTACATAAGCATAGTGCAAATGTGCAAAACGTGATGAATGGTAACGTCTTCACTGTTTAATGAGAAGTGGATATCATGTCGTACCTGAACTTCTTCATATACAGCCAGTAGGCCAGTCCTATCGCCAGAACCGCCAGCATCAGGCCAACAACTATGCCAACAGCCAGAATCGTCTGGTCACTGTACTCATCTTTCTGATCTGCTTAAGAAACAGAGATAAAACATTCAGAATAGGGCATGGACAACTGGTGACAAGGGGAAGACAGACAACTGGATGAGAACTTAAACCATTCAATAACTAAACAAAAGCAAATAAGACGCTGAAGGCCTAGCCTTTGTCAGGATGCTGGGCATCTCAGCACCTTTGTTTTAGTTTTTTTTTTTTTTAGAGTACACTCAAAAAGCATTCATTAAATTGATGACTAAAGGCACTGAGTTTTGGCATATGCTCTCTTCCTGTGTAATGCAAAGCTGTGCAAAGACCAGACCTGATCGTAGATAACTCAGAGTCTTACCTTGTTTGTCCATTGTCACGTCCTCAACAACTGTAATCAGATATAAAATCATATTAAGTTCCATTTGCTTTATATTCTCATGGAATGAAAAGCCCATTGCATACAGAACTGGAGAAACTGTATATATAAATGTGTAGATATATTCTAATAACAAAACGGATTAATGGACATTTGCATGTTAATTCTTGCTTTTTCTCAAATAACCCCAAATGAAACAGCAATGCATGTAAATATAGGAATCCAGAGGCTTACACTTGTGGTTGGTTTTATAATTAAACACTTTTGTCCCGGGTTAGCCGAAAGATTTCAGTCATGTAAAGTGAAAGCATGTGTTAGTCAGAGAACAGACCAGCATCCCGACAAACAGAACAGAAGAAGAGAAGGAAAGGTGAGCTCAAATAAAGATACAAGAGTTTTTATGTGCTAATGTTATATAATCCACGCTTAGAAGTTAACGTCAACCAAATCACTTAGACAAAACTTAGAATTATTACTTAAAAACCATGTTAATTTTACATGTTAAGGACAACACATAAAAGCTACTGTATTATTGGAGTTATTATACTAACAATTTAGGTTTCATTTAACAGTTAACATGAAATAACAATGAAAAATAAAGCATTTAATTTTAACATCACTAACATTTCTAAAATTAAAAAGTATCTGTTTTTACTATTATTTTACATTTAATGAATGTGTGCTAACATTAACCATGAACAGTATTTTTATTAACAATCATAAAGACCAGTAACTACTGTTACAAAAAAATGAATCATTGTTGGTTCATTTTAGTTAATGCATTAACTAACAGGACCTTATTGTAAAGTGTAACCATTATTATCTTTGATGAAAAGTAAAGTTTAAAACAAATAAACATGATCTTTGTGGGATGGACTTGAATTTAAAGGGGTGGTTCACTGTTTTTTTTTCTAGGCTTGATTGTGTTTATGGGGCTAACATGTGTTAATGCTTAGTTCAAAAAAAAAACAAAAAAAAACCGCATTCTTTTTCACATAATTTACCTTTATTCCACACCGCTCTGTCCCTTCTCTGATAAACGGGCTGATCTTTTCCTGTTTTTATGAAGCCCCGCCCTCAGAAATAGGCGATGGGCTTTGATTGGTTAGCTAGCCCAGTGTGTTGTGATTGGCTAAACCGCCTCTAGTGCGCGTCTAAACGTCCCG